GGCTTGCGGCAACCACATGTGACGACCCCGGGCTGGACTCCGCTTCGTCCACGGTGAAAGCCAATCCGGCAATCCACAGCACGAAGTTGTTGTATTTCCTCAGCGACCAGCACGGATCAGCTCCAGGCATGACGAAGCAGATATCGTCCTCTTTTGGAAGACCAAACAAAGTAGTTTCACTTTCACAACGAAACACACAGCGTCTTCACGACATGGCGGCGGCAGCAACAATACTACAGCGAGAATAAAAGTTATGCCTTCTTTCTTTGCGTGAACATTTGGGCGGCGTTATGCAAATCTTCCCACATCATGACGTAGGTATGTGGGGGCGTGTTAGAACGAGCCGTTTTAGGGGGGCGTGGTTGACCCTTAACTTTTATAAAGAATATCTCTTTGGATTTGAGACTTTAGTCTTTGCAACTTTAAAGATCTTCTTTATGCACCAAGAGCTTGTAACACTCCAAAGAGAAAGGAAAACTTGAAATCACATCATATGACCCCTTTAAAAGAAAAAATATTGCTATGTCCTGGCAGAAGGAAGTGGTTCATTTTAAAATGATACCTCTTTTAAATAGTTCTTACTTTTGGTCAGCACAGTCAGATATTTCCGATTTTTTTTCCTCCTAAAAAAATCAAGCAAAAGGCAAAGTCAGCCGCCATCCTGAAGGTCCTCTTTACTTATTTTACCTGCTGTGTGTTCAACAACAAAAACAGGCACAGATTGGTGAGTTTTATATGTTTTTAATACTTAACATGCTTTTATTTTGTGTCATGAACACTAAGTTCACACATTGTTCGTATTTGGATTCTCTATATAAAAAGTAACTTTTATATAGAGAACATTTACCTCATTTGAAAGGTAAGATGTAACAGTTAGCTAGGATACTAAAAAGCAGAGACCATTTTTTGTATCATGATTCGCTACTTCGTCGTATGCACTGTATATTATATTACATTATATTATAGTAGTGCATACGATCAAGTAGCAAATCGTGGTTCGTTGCTGTGGCCATTAGCTATTTTTTTAAATGACAAGCTTTTGATATGTCTCACTCAGACTTGTTATTTTTTTATAGGAAATACATCAACAACAATTAACCCCTGGTGGAAGATGCTAGAACTACACCGTTTGGGTTAAAAAAACAAAACTTTATTGCCATTGACAGATGAAGTATTCAGAAGTAAACTTATAATGATTAAATCATTTTGTAGGCCGCATATATAATGATATATGATATTCATAACTCTTATATAAATGCAAATATGTTGTTATATCATAGTAGATTTAGCAAATGGGATCTGCAGGTTGCATGCTTCCAAATGCCATGTAGGTCTATAATTCATAGGTCAAGTAGGTCCTATAACCGTTATAGGACCTACTTGACCTATGAATTATAGACCTACTTGGTTAAAAGAATAGTTCACCCAAAAATGTTTTTCACAAACACACAGCTTTTCACGTCACAAGATGTCAACTGATGGACTGTGTGGATTACTTGTGGATTATTGTGATGTTTTTATCAGCTGTTTGGACTCTCATTCTGACGGCACCCATTCACTGCAGAGCATCCATTGCTGAGCAAGTGATGTAATGCTACATTTCTCCAAATCTGTTCAGATGAAGAAACAAACTCATCTACATCTTGGATGGCCTGACTCGTAAATACATTTTTGAAAATTCCATTAACATGGGAAAGAAAACTGTGCTTGTCAAATGTCAAGCCATTTCATGTGATATTTAAATTAAGGGTGCTCCGATCAGGATTTTTGGAGCCGATCACAGGAAGCGGTATCTGCCGATACAATCACAGATACCGATCTTTTTGAAGACTTCTTTTATCATGTAGAATTATTTATAGTGATGGTCCAATCAGGATTTTTACAGACATTCATTCAGGGCCTGAATTTCATGTTCAATTTTGAAAATGGGTGACTATTGTGGGGAGTATTTTTTTTATTTGATGGGTGTTTTTTTTTTACATTTTTTCAAAAATATATAATTTTCTCACCTAAATCTTTGGTTATGCAGTGCATTTTTGTTTTTACAATGGGGCAATTGTTGCACAATGGCTTACACACAGCACAAGCCTGATTTTGTGAGCTGTGTGTGAGGCGGCTTTATATGTGTGTGCATGAGCGCACCGTCTCTAGGAGAACGCGCGAGTGCTGAATGGTTTAAACACTGGCAAGTTTATTTGTATAGCGCTTTTTACGATACAAATCGTTGCAAAGCAACTTTACTGCAAATTAAGTTTCTACAATATTTAGTGATAGCTTATCAGTGGTGACTGTAAGTTAATGTACATATGGAAGAAATGTATGGAAAAATCAATTAAAGACGTAATCAAACAGACGATGAACACTATTAACACCAATTATTATATGATGGAATCAAACTTATAGCAAAATGTGGTAGTTCTGTATGTTGTTTCAGGGTTGGCATCATCTGAGGTCCTCTGAGGGGTTGCATCATCTCTTCTCAGGTGTTCTGGATCCAGACTGAAGCTTGTGTTACGCAAAAACAGAGAAACAAATAGAGACAATTAGCGTAGCTGCTGTTCCAACCAAGCACAAAAGATTTGTTTAACCCAAACTAAAGAATAATCATGTGCATTTGATCAGATATAACTGCAGTACAAGATTATGAGATGGATTATTTGAATGCTTGGCCAAAGAGATGTGTCTTTAATCTAGATTTAAACAGAGAGAGTGTGTCTGAACCCCAAACTTTATCAGGAAGGCTATTCCAGAGTTTGGGAGCCAAATGCGAACAAGCTCTACCTCCTTTAGTGGACTTTGCTATCCTAGGTACTACCAAAAGTCCAGAGTTTTGCGACCTTAGGGAGCGTGATGGATTGTAGCGTGGTAGAAGACTAGTTAGGTACGCAGGAGCTAACCCATTAAGGGCCTTATAGGCAAGTAATAATATTTTGTAACTGATACGGAACTTAATAGGTAGTCTAATAGGGTTAATAGGGTTATATGATCAGATTTTCTTGACCTGGTAAGGACTCAAGCCGCTGCAGTTTGGACTACCTGTAGCTTGTTTATTGAAGATGCAGGACAACCACCTAGCAGTGCATTACAATAGTCCAGTCTAGAGGTCATGAATGCATGAACTCGCTTTTCTGCATCAGAAACAGGTAACATGTTTCGTAGCTTGGCAATGTTTCTAAGATGGAAGAATGCTGTTTTTGTAACATGGGAAATATGATTTTCAAAAGACAAGTTTCTATCTAATATAACACCCAGATTTTTGACTGTAGAGGAAGTAACAGTACATCCGTCTAGTTGCACATTGTAATCCAAGAGATTCTGTGTACTAATGTTTACGATTCTGTGTACGAATTTAATACGAGAAAATTATTGGTCATCCAATCTTTTACATTTTTAACACACTCTGTTAGCTTAGATAATTTAGAAGTTTCATCTGGTCTTGTTGAGATATATAGTTGAGTATCATCAGCATAACAGTGGAAACTAATCCCGTATTTTCTAATAATATTACCAAGAGGCAACATGTATATTGAAAATAGCAGAGGACCTAGGACAGATCCTTGTGGCACTCCATATTTTACTGGTGATAATTGAGATGACTCCCCATTTAAATGAACAAAATGGTAGCGATCGGACAGGTAGGATCTAAACCATCTAAAAAAATAAATAAATGCAAATGATAAACTTTAGTGACGATGCGACTCTGCCTCGATAGAGACTGCTGATTGAACTTCCCAAAACGATTATCGGTCAATGTAGCCGATCAATCAGAGCACCCCTAATTTAAATGCAAAGCTGAGAGGACTAGACCTTTTTTTTTGTTAGCTAAAATCATGATAAAATTAGCCAAAACCTCTAATAAACAAACACACAAGAAGATATGGGTTTTGTATGTGTAAGAACTTTGTCAGGAATTCCAAAGCTTTGGAAATCTGTGGAACTTTCTATGGAGTTCTGATTCCATGTGGCTGTTCAGATAACTGACTCTAAGCACTTTCATATGTGGCTGGAGCTCTGCTGTGTGATCGGCCTCAGCCTGATCACCCTTATTGTGGGAACATGAATAGGCCTATTGCACAACGCAGTGCTGGACTATTTTGTTGAAATCAAGCCTTTCGTTTCCAATTAAGCATCAAAAGAAATCTGTCACCGAATAAGCAACACTTACTGAATGTTACCATTTCTATCACGCACCCACAAAGGGCCGTGCACATATGCGTGAGTCTCCTCTGCAGGTGCGAAGTGGAGGATGATGGAGGGTTGTCTGGACTGTAGAGATCCAGCTCAAATGCATTGCAGATGTGTGATTTAGTCTGCCTAACTGTTGCTGTTGCAGAACGTTAAAACATCTGTACAGCTTGCATTTACAGCTTCTTTTCTTTGCCCTCTGCCACAGAAAAACAACTCTGCCCTTTAATGAGGCCAAAGACAAGTGGAGGCTTCCTGAACCCTGTGTGGACACTTATAGGAGGACGTCAAAACCTAAACAGCTGCTATCCGATGTGCAAAGACTGCTGGTTAGTCTTAAACAGTTGGTTCAGGCAAAAAAATTACATTTTGGGATCATTTACTCACTCTCGTATTAATTTGAACTGCTATGACTATATTTATTCTTCAGAACACAAAAGGAAACATGACGAATTGTGCTGAAGAATTGGTCTTTTTCATACAAGATTTAAAATGGACACAAAAGCACTTATTCAAAATGTTTTCTTTTGTGTTCCACAGAAGACAGACTTCAGGTTTGGAACAGCAAATAACTAAATAAATGAAAAATAAAATAAATACAATTTCTTAAATTTAGATGTATAATAATATATATATATATATATATATATATATATATATATATATATATGTGTGTGTGTGTGTGTGTGTGTGTGTGTGTGCGTTGTATAATTTTTTTGTAACATCTTAGCATATGTATATATATATATATGCTAAAATGTTACTACTATATATGTACAGTATGTACAATATTTAATTCTATAGATAAAATATATTTAAATAAAATAAATATATTATTAATTTCATATATTGTAATATAAATATGCATTTTTATTAATTATACATAGAGAGGTTTTAATTAATTGATGTGTACTGTCATGTTTAAAGACAGAACGCACTATATATATATATATATATATATATAATTATTATTTTAATATATACTAATATATTCTTTATATATTTAAAGCCTTCTGAGCCTTGAAACCTTCTGACTTTGTGTGAGAATTTAGATCAATATTCACTGATAACCATCCCCTACAGCTGGCAGATGTCATTTGAGGTCATATATAATTTAATTTTTGGGTGAACAGGTCCTTTAAATCATTACAGTCTGCAGCAGTGGACCAGGTGAGGGGTCTAACTTCCATTTCGAAGGGATTTGTCATGGTTCCTGCAGCAGTGTTTCTCTTCACACTAGATTCCCTCTGAGCATCACATTCTCCAAGACTCCCACAATTCAACTATTATGCTTTGTCTTGCATTTTTCCTATTAACTTTGTATACTAATTGATTCATTACCTGTAAACAAACCTATTCCTCTGAAGGGAAAAGTCAACTCTAATTGCTCAAATACAACCTGCCTTGAGGTTTTGAGGGCTGTGTTTGCTTGCAGACGAATCTGTCATGATAAGATCTCTGCAATGATAAACAGCTGCAAGCTTTCGGATTTGCTTTTGAATGTTCTGTAAAGCCAATCATGCCGGACAGATGTACTTTAGAAAACCTGCTTACAAAACCCCAATTATCATGTTTACATCGTCTGGACAAATAGATGCTTTACCGGTTGGGCATCTTATTTACTTAATCATTAACACCAAAGATATCTACACATCAAACAGGAGATTTACAAAAAAAGTTGATTGGACTTAATGGGCTTGGGGTTCTTATTTAATTCAAAGTTGAAAATTCAGCTTTTAACACGTTTTATTATTATTTTGTGTAAAATGTTATTTTAAAAAGGGCTAAATTTGGGCAAAATAATAAATGACAAATAAGGATGTCAGCGATATTGTAAAAAAAAAAAAAAAAAAAAATCTATTTTAGAACAAGATTTTTGTATTCAGGTTAAACAGTTTTGAAAAATATTTATACAATTTTCAACAAATTATTAATTACTTTAACATTTTAACAAGTGGTTTAACAGTCAAGTGAAATACTAAATTATTTTCCTTAGACTTTGAATATTGAATTATGAGTTTTCACAGCTTAATTGTTTTCGAGTTAAACATTGAATTTTTAAATTATGAATATCATTGCATTTTCAGACTGACAGAGCTAGCCATTTTTCATTTAAAAGGCCTGCATATACTACACAATATCACTGAGCTGATTTAATAATACCAAAATATTTTAAGATATAACAAACTACTTTCAAAGTAGACTATTATTATTATTATTTTAAAAAGTTATGAAATGTATGCTTTATTAAAATCTCCACCTAGATTTTTTTTTTACTTTAAATCCTACTAAAATATTAAAATAAATTTGAATTCAGACATTATAAACATATTTACATAATACATTTAATAATAATAATAATTCACAAACATTTTTTAAGGAATAACATGTGAAACTACTTTCAAAGTTGACTATTATTATTATTATTTTTTAAGTTTTGAAATGGTTTGCTTTATCAAAATCTCTATGAAGCAAGATTTTTTATCTTTAAACCCCACTAAAAATATTACAATTAATTTTAATTCAGACATTACAATTATATTTACAATAAAATATTATTGTGTATTCCTGTGTATGAACATAATAGATGAAAAAATATAGATATAATGATAATAAAGATGTCATCAACCTGTCTTCAAGACTTCCCCCCTAGTCCGTATGTGCATCTGAATTTAAAGTCATTAGGGAGCTCTGTAGTCATTTTAGTTGAGTTTTGCACCTGATGGAGAAAAATCATTACGTTTGTCACATGGGCCTCATAAACCCTTTCCCCCGACTCCCCAATGTGTGTGAATATCAAACCACAGCAAAATTAAAAAAACTATGTGAACCGAGTCAATAAAAACAAAAAAAAAAGAACTTGTATTATTTTGGTGTGATATTTAATTAAAAAAAAAGTATAAAACTTATATCACTGTATAAATTTTAAAACACATTTTTATGATTGTCCAAAATGACGTTGGTTTTTAAAAGCATATAGTGTGTTTTTTCCGTGAACTCTAGAGTTCCTCTCGTAAAAACACTTTGTGGTTACAAGGTGCTACAACGCGCTGACGCCAGAACTGGGAAAAACACTGCCAGCCGAGAGAGCCTGTCCAGTGGCCCCAGGTGGGATTTTTCCACCTCCGAATGAAAGAAAATAAACGCGCAGCGATACCGTAGGGTCGCCCAGTTCCCCAGGAATCACCAGGGCGACCGCAGCTCTGGGAACGCTGCCTCACCTGGGCAGGACGTTCACACGCTTCCCATGATTCCTTTCCAGTGTTCTCTAATGGTCATGACCCTGAACAATTACTATTGAACCTTGCTTTAATTTGGGGTGTGCTGCTTTTTTATGGCCTTCTCCCCACCCTGTGCGTTACCCATGATTTCATAAGCGCTGGATGGGACCCTGGCGGTCAGGGGGGTACACTGGGGTCACGCCACTGAAGGATTTTCTTCCAGCGCACGTATGCAAGAGGCCAAGGTAAGCAGCGTGTCTTTGTGTCCGCACAGTGGCCACGGGCATGAGCCCTGTTCCAGCACCCATGCCAGGACACACACTGTGCACTATGAAGGGAGCTCCTGATGGACAGACACAGGGAAGAAAAGGGTTTGATGTGTTGCCACAGTCCCTGGACATTTCATCCTCCGAACATTTGCGCACGGGGCTGCCGAGCCCTTTGAACCCCTCCTTTCTCTTCTCCCTTGCTAAAATGGAGGAAGTTCGGATGAACTTGGACTGGAGGTGCAAGAGTTTTCAGGCTGAGGATCAAAACCCAAATAATCCCTGGACAAAAATAACCATTAGCGTTCCCATTCGTCTCAGTACAGGACCTGCTTGATGCCATCTTCACAAAGCTTTCACTAGCAGCTGTCTTGAGCTGTAGCATCAGAGGTAGCATACAGGGAAGTTAGGGATACAGGAAGTCCTCTAAACTTCAGAAATAAATCAAGCAAAGGCAGAACATCTATAATATAATGAAAAATAGGTATAAAAAAATTGAAAATAAAAATTGGTAAAAAAATTGAATTTCATTTTTATGTTTTTAAAATGTTTATGCTCACTAAGGCTGCATTTATTTGATTAAAATTACAATAAAAACAGTAATATTGTAAATGATTATTACAATTTATGTTTTCTATATAATTATATTTTTTTATGCAATATATTTATTTGATGGGAAGGCTGAATTTTTAGCAGCTGTTACTCCAGTCATCAGTGTCACATGATTCTTCAGAAAACAGTTCAATTATTAATTATTAGTAGTACTCAATTATTCATAATGTTTTCATTACTAAAAATGTTTATGGAAATCATTATAATTTTTTTCTAAGATTGTTTGATGAATAAATTCAGAAGAACAGCATTCATTTGAAATATAAATCTTTTGTAACATTATAAATGTTTTAATGTTCCTGTTGATTAACTTAATGCATCCTTGCTGAAAGTTATATATATATAAAAAAAAAAAGATATATATATATATATATATATACACACACACACACACACACACACGCATATATACATATATGGTAGTGTATCATGGTTTCCTCAAAAATATTAAGCAGCAAAAACGGTTTTCAACATGGATAATAAGAAATGTTTCTTGAGCACCAAATAAGCATATTAGAATGATTTCTGAAGGATCATGTGACACTGAAGACTGGAATAAGGGCCACTGAACATTTAGCTTTGCCATAACAGGATATATATACACACACACACACACGCATATATACATATATGGTAGTGTATCATGGTTTCCTCAAAAATATTAAGCAGCAAAAACTGTTTTCAACATGGATAATAAGAAATGTTTCTTGAGCACCAAATAAGCATATTAGAATGATTTCTGAAGGATCATGTGACACTGAAGACTGGAATAAGGGCCACTGAACATTTAGCTTTGCCATAACAGGAATAAATTCCATTAAATAGAAAATAGTTCTTTTAAATGGTAATATTTCACAATATTACTGTTTTAAATGCAGCCATGATGAACAGAAGAGATTTCTTTCAACAACATTAAAAAAATGATTAATTATTCCAAACTTTTAACCAGAAAAAAAAAAAAGTTGTGTTAAGATTACACATGTACTTTTGAATGGCTGTCAGTGGAGAAATATGCTTTTCGGCTGTATTATGCTTTAGCTACATGTACCAGCAGAGGCCAACTAAATTATGCTAACCAGCTGAAACTTGACCCCTTTGTGTCAGACATTTCAAATGCAAATAAACCGAGTGATAAAGGGTCATAAAACATTACGTTCTTACTGATAACCTTATAAGTCCACCCACTTCACATACAAACTAAAATAATCCTTAGAACATTGTGACAGTATTTATCCTGTTTTCTCAGGAAATATTAGAAATATAGTAGTTAATGTGTGCTTTATAGGACTTGCATCATGAAACCCCATATAGAAACATTTCCATATTGTGAAAAAGTCAGTAACAACATTTTAGAAAGCACTCTTCAGCATAAACAGGAATTGTGTCATGTTTAATAGCTGTTGTTTCTACAAAACTATAGTGAATATCCATCAGAATGAATGGCAACATGTAATTTCACTGGCCTATAAGGACTTGAAGCCACTGATGTTAAATCACCGCCTCCTAGTGGCCACCTGGAGAACATTCACACAATAAGAATACAGAAATATCAGTAAACAACAAAAAGTGTATTGTACAACGAATCTCTGAGAACAAACATAGCTGCTGGAAACTCAAACCGTTAGAAGAAATAAAGCAGAACATAGAAACAGTAGAAAACAAATTCAACTACAGATTTCATCTATAGCCAGTGTAGTTTTATGCTTCTACAATAATTTGGCATGACAACAAACTCCATGATGGTTTTTCGTTTTGACAGAACTAAAACGTTTTCTAGAAGCACATTTCCAATTTCACAAAGTTTCCCGAAATCCAACTCGAATTACATTTGACCATACCGAGTAAAATACAATTCCTTTGTATTTAACCAGACCATTTAATCACAGAAATCCAATTCAAATGGAGCATCTGTGAGAAAATACATCTATTATTAGTCATAAATACAGTCTCTGTGTGAGGAAATGAAGACACTACTTGACCGTGCATTCATAAATTACAGAAAGTCATAAATAATTGCACTGTGGTGACCTCTTCTGCATCAGTAACACATTTAGAGGTGTTTGTTGAGTCCTGATTCCCTCCTCTAAAGTAGCTGAGGTGAAGCCGCTCCTTTTTACAGTCCATTTGGCAGTAAACAAACTCAAACAAATCTCCCAAGCTCATCAAATTGAGTTCATGAGTGTGCGTTTTCTCCCATCACTCTCACCGTTCCACATACAACAGCTTCTGTGGATCGCAAGATGTGTCCTATAGTTCATCCTATAGGGATGTAAACAAAAAAGATGCTATTGATTCATTTTATTTCCAATTAGGATTCTGGCTTCCAATAATTATGAAAACTAAATATTGAGAAAACTTTACACAATGATGCTCTTGTTTTTTCCACATTAAACTCACAGCACATGCAAAGATTGAGTTTGTTGCATTTAATGTGAACCAAGCTGCTCTGAGCTGGATTTACAGTAAAGGCAGCAAACTCAATCAATATATGAATTAATATTTTACATTTATATTTGAAGTTTTTTTACATTTTACATTCAAGGAAATCCACTGTTAAAGTAAAAAATAAAGTTCAATAAATGCAAGATATTTCCAAAGTCAACAAGTAAATACCAAAATAATTTGCCATATTTGAGTAGCCCTATTAAAAAAAAAACTGGACTGAAACATTTATTGAAGATAAATGATTTTGATTATGATTTCCACAAACATATTAAGCTGTTTTCAATATTTATATTAATAATAACCATTATTAATAAGTACCAATAATAATTGAGCAGTAAATCAGCATATTAGAATGATTTCTGAAGGATCATGTGACACTGAAAACTGGAGTAGTGATGCTGAAAATTCACCTTTGCCATTCCAGAAATAAATTACATTTGATAAAATATAATAAAACAGAAAACAGGCATTTTAAATTGTAATGATATTTCACAATACTACTGTTTTTACTGTAATTTTAATAAATGCTGCCTTGGTAAGCATAAGAGACCTCTGTCAAAAACATCAAAAATTGTAACTATTCTAACTTACTTTAAGTTTGGAGGACTTTCCCTGTAATGCTAGCTGCTGGAGTCGCTGTCTGAGAATGTCTGCGATGTCGGTGGCGTCTCTGCTGTTAATATGCTCTCCTCCTTGAACTCGCTAAAACAGGTTGGGACATAAAGGTATCAGTTAGAATAGGTACAGAAATTACTCGGAGCACTTGGAACAATAAGATGGCCAGCAGTAGTGTCGTACCCGTGTGGTGCCCAGGTGGGGGTAGAATCGGACACTGGGGTAATCCTTGATCCCGGCGCTCTGGCAGGTCTGGTAGTGTTCTTGACAGTCCACTTTGCCAGCTCGCACAGTTCCCTTCGTCATCTGCAGGAGGAGGAACAGGTGACTGATGCTGCTGAATTATTCATGATCACAGCACCTGCACTGACTGAAGCTAGTCGAAAGCCAGTGCAAAAGATCATGTGTTGCTTTTTTTTTTTTTATACAACTGCATTTTTTTAATTGCATTTTTAATTACAAATGCACAGCAGTTAGAGTGAAAAGTCGTCCTTTTGCTTTAATGACAGCAGTTCTGGAGCTGACGTGAACAAAACCTGATGATCATGTGATCATGCTCTCCAGCATGATTTGAGAATTATCTAATGAGAATCTTGAGCTTCAATAGAGTCCAACAGTGCCCACCCACTTTTTCAGCAGCCTTGAGTCAGAATCACAATAGATTTTTTTTTGTAATTTTGACCATATACAGCATGTAAATGAAACAACATTCCTCAAGGACCATGGTGCTACATAAAACAACACCAGACTACAAGACTGGACATGACAACACAGATTAAATTAGATTAAAATGTAAATAAAAACTAGAAAAACTAAAACTAGCAGTAGGAATTAAAATTAGAACTAAGAGAAGGACAGATAAGATTACACATACACAGGACTTCAAAAAGTGCATGTGTGCAAACAATTTTTTCCATAGGGATTTTAAAGGGGTCATATGATGCTGCTAAAAAGAACATTATTTGGTGTAATGAAATGTGTTTGTGGTTTAAGGTTAAAAAAACACATTATTTTCCACATACTGTACATTATTGTTACTCCTCTATGCCCCGCCTTTCTGAAACGCGTCGATTTTTACAAAGTATGGATGCACGATATATCAGCCACCATATCGGTATCGGCCCATATCGGGCACACACCACGGCCTTGAGTGAGCAGAGGCCTTGAGTGAGCAGAGGCCTAGAGTGAGCTGCGGCCTAGAGTGAGCGGAGGCCGGCTAGAGTGAGCAGAGGCGGGCGGGCTTGAGAACGGCGTGGCCGGCGGATTCGACGAAGGAGTGTCCGGCGGGCTTGCGGCAACCACATGTGACGACCCCGGGCTGGACTCCGCTTCGTTGAAGTTGATGTATTCCCTCAGCGACCAGCACGGATCAGCTCTAGGCATGACGAAGCAGATACCATCCTCTTTTGGAAGGCCAACCAAAGTAGTTTCGCTTTCACAACGAAACACACAGCGCCTTCACGACATGGCGGCAACAACAATACTACAGCGAGAATAAAAGTTACGCCACCTTTCTTTGCGTGAACATTTGGGCGACATTATGCAAATCTTCCCACATCGTGACGTAGATATGTGGGGGCGTGTTAGAAAGAGCCGTTTTAGGTAGGCGCGGTTGAATATCTCTTTGGATTTGAGACTTTAGTCTTTGCAACTTTACAGATATTCGTTATGCACCAAGAGCTTGTGACACACCAAAGAGAAAGGAAAAATTGAAATCGCATCATATGACCCCTTTAAAGATGTCTTAGTTGAAGCGTTATAAGCCAAAAACCAAATATTCCAGCTATGAGGTGAATCACAATATTACAAACATTGACATGAAGCAAAAAAAAAGTGTGAAAACTGGACAAAAAGACATTGTACTTAAATAACATGAAGCACTATATATTCTGTTTTTTATTTTAGGTATTGATATAAGGACTGACTATTATGTAATTTCATGAGTAGGTGGGTGCATAAGTGTTATTTTTTCAGGATTTGCTTGCCACAATTCTCTAATTGGTAAGATTTCTTTGCAGAATCATAGCTAATGTAATTTTTCACCAGACATTCTGCATAATTATTTATAGCAGACTTTTGGCCTCAGTACACATCGAAAAACTGCTTGGCAGCATTAAAAAGAAAAGAATGAATGTGATTGGCTGAAACACTATGCACTCCTCTCATTACTCTAGCTGATAAAAGATCATTTGCATCTATATTTGCAGAAATGCCAATGCTTGCAAAGCACCAGAAATCTTTGAGAAAACAGTTAGAAACATTGCAAACACCAGCTGATGTCTTCACAAATTTGTCCTAATAAAAAGTCTTACCCTGGCAAGAACTTCAAATTCAGGGGCGAATTGCTGGCATGGGCCACACCATGGGGCATAGAAATCCAACACCCAGTGATCCTTCCCTCCCAAAACCTTTCTCTTAAAGTCCTCGGGTGACAGATCCACTGAGGCACGAGGCAGAGAGCTATGGACAGATGAGTCCAATGGTTAGAGGGTACAAAATGTAAAATAGCTCTGCCTACATAGATAGCATCCTAAAGAAATGGAACCACAATTGACTGATTTGTAACACTGCAGGTGGGTGACTTTGACATTAGCATATTGCCAAGTTAATGACAACTCTCCACGCATAAAGCTAAGCTAGTTAGGTGGTGTTAAGCTAGTTAGTGTGGTGTTTTTGAGCTTTTAGCCACAAGCTAAAACTACTAAAATCAATTGAGACAAGTCTCTTGTGTGTTTTGTGTGAAGGGAGCTATCCGCATGATGCAAAACTATCAGTAAAATAGTTCAAATTGTTGGTGAACTTATGGATACTTTGTGAGAATTATTCCGACTTACCTCAAGGCCCAAGTCTTGAGGGAAAAGGCATCCCGGTGCCATCCATTGTAGCTCCTGTTAACAATGAGAGAGAAGCACTGAATTTGTTGTACCGGTGTGTGTAATTGTGTTTGAGTTACAGGATGTAGGAAACACGCACTGGTACTGGTCTCTCCGATTACTGTTCTGAGGAAACAGGCGGATCTCTGGGTAAGCGCGCACATTCTCACCCTGGCAGAATGAGTGGTGTTTCTGGCAGTCGACTGTTCCCACGTTTACAATCCCACTCAGCATCTAGAACAGACACAGCAATAGGGTTGTCACGATCATGACATTTTTGCAAGAAATGAACTGTCAAAAAACTGCAATAAATTATTTGTCTTTTTTCACGTAAAGTGTAAGCTTAATGCATATACATTTTAAGAAAAAGAAATGTATTCACACAGATATTGGAAACATTTAAATTGAGTTTCTTAAAGGCTTTGAAAAACAAAAAATATATATAGTGCCAATGTACTAAAGTAACAAACTAAAGCTGAAATAAAAAATAATAAAAACTGTATATTGAATGTGAGCATATTATGAGATTTTATCCAAAGCGTATTTAAAAAAAATCTAATTATGTAATTATATACATATATAGTGTGTGTGTTTGTGTACGTATAATATGCTTGCTCAATATGGAATATATACAATAACTATAATAATGACTAATATTAATTATAATATTATAGTTAATGGTATTAAAGCTGTATTTCATTTGAATATTCAGGAATTTAACATTTAATTATGAATGATGATCTTTTAGATTTTGAGATTTTTTTCCTTGCACTTTGTTACATGCACAGTTACTCAAATGTAATGTGTTTCATGGCATTTCTAGATTTTGCATTACATTTTGGCAAAATTAGGAATTGTCATTACAATTTAAAGTGCACAATGGCCTTAGGAATCACTCATCGTGATTAAATCAAACATTTGTCGACAGCCAGTTATATAATAAGGGCAATTACATTGAGATCATATATAACTGCAAAAAACTGTAATAACAAGGAAAAAAGGTAATACTTTAACACTCAGATGGAGTGTCAGTTTAATATATGAGAGCAGATACCCGTGCCATTCTCCTCCACTCTGGCAGCAGAGCCTGGCAGGGGCCACACCACGGAGCGTAGAAATCCACCATCCACGTCTCTGAGGACTTGCGTCTCTTCACCAGCTCCTGGAATGACTCTGGGATCAATGTCACCACCACAGGGTTCACCAGGTCCTGCAGAAGACACAATCATCTATTACATCTAAACAGATATATAATGTGTGTATACTGTATGGATTATGAATGAGGGTATGAATAAATGTAACTGTAATCTGTGCCTCACCTCTATAAACTCCAGGATGCCGTCTGCAGAGTGATGGCCTTCATACTCATGGATGCTGGACTTGTTGAAAATTACAGTTGTTGGATATGCATGAATGTTGTACTGAAGAACGGAAAGCAAAATGCAAGAGATGAGAAGCAGCTCTCACCTGAACATTCATACTCTGGTAAAATCAGCTTATTTATGTCAAATCAAAAGGTCTAAAATAATGCTAAGTTAAATATAAACAGTCAAAGGCAGTGTGAGGCAGGTCAGTACAATGCAAGATTATTATTATTAATTATTTTTGCAGTTTTGCTGCTAGTGGTGCAGAAATGGCACGCTTTACTCGTAACACACAAATAAACACACAAATCAAATGCTATGGTTTCCTGTTGCAAAGATTCAGAAGGTTTTATGATACTTCTATAAACAGATCTGTACACAGTTACATAAGTATTGCTAATAATAAATATGAATATTCTAACAATATGATGAATTGGTGAATTAATCATGATAATGACAATAATAATTACTAATAATGTATTATTACATTATTTAAATGATATTAATAGTAATATACAGTATATATTATTATTAAATAGTGAATTGATAAACTAATTATAATTCTGCTTATTATTATAATAATCATATTATAAAAGCAATTATTATTAATTATTTAGTGCTGCAGAAATTACACACTTTACCTTTAAGTAATATGAAGAGAAAGTAAGACAAATGCTGTGGTTTCCTGTGGCATATTACGATGCTTCTGTAAACAGATCTGTACACGGTTACATATAATTACTGTAATAGTAAAAATAATAATTTTGCTGTTAGTGGTGCAGAAATGACACCACTTTTAAGCTATATGAAGAGAATGTAAGATATGCAGGTGCATCTCAATAAATTAGAATGTCGTGGAAAAGTTCATTTATTTCAGTAATTCAACTCAAATTGTGAAACTCATGTATTAAATAAATTCAATGCACACAGACTGAAGTAGTTTAAGTCTTTGGTTCTTTTAATTGTGATGATTTTGGCTCACATTTAACAGAAACCCACCAATTCACTGTCTCAACAAATTAACAGATGATGTTAACAGAAAGTTGAGTGGAAGGAAAAAGTGTGGAAGAAAAAGATGCACAACCAACCGAGAGAACCGCAGCCTTATGAGGATTGTCAAGCAAAATCGATTCAAGAATTTGAGTGAACTTCTGGTAGACAGGAAGCTAATGAGGATCTGAATCTCTATTAAGAACACTCTACAGAAAACCACATGAAAACTCTAGAGATGCAGAGCAAATGATGCCATCAGCTTCAAATGCAAGTCATCATGCCCAATCAACTGTCAATTCTGCAATATTTGAACAAGGGTGAATATCTCAGTACCGTATTGCAGAGCCTCTCGTGCACGGTACAGTCCAGAGTTCCAAACTTCAGCTGTCCAAAGAGCTGGATGGAGGCTTTTCTCAACTCAGGGAGAAGAGCTCGGCATGGCGGACACCACTGTAGAACAGAACAATTACCCATAATGATTTTTAATGAAACCAAATTTCAAACATGGATGCAAATTATCCTTTTAATTGTTTGAATTTCAGTAATTTCACTGTGCTTGCCTCCGCAGATCATTTCTCACCCTTCTGAGCCTGATGAATTAACCATCGGCAGGAAGTTACCATGGCAATGTAAGTACGTGCTTAGCAGATAATCATTAGCGTTCAAATAGCGGCTTCAGCAGAGGTTTAACAGAGAGGTTTAGATGTAACAACTCACAGGAGCAAAGAAATCAACCAGCCAGGGATCTTTCTCATGGCTAGGGAAGTTCTCCACACTCAGTGTGGTGACATGGGCATTCACACTCTCTTTTGCAAAGGCTGCAACATTGTACAGGACGTCCTTACCTGGAGATTTAACACAGAGTAACTGGCATCAGAACTTTTAACATTTTAGACCAATACCAAATACATTTCATAGTGTTGTAGTGTTACTGGCTGATCCAAAATGTCTTTTAACCCTCTGATACTGGTTTCCTACAGTGGAGAACCTTAAAAGCCATTTTTAGCCATTCAAGGTGTGAAGGTCAACCACACTTGACCTTTACTTACTACACTACAACTTCAGAAAGGATGCATTAAATTGATCAAAAAGACATTTATAACATTGCAAACAATTCTATTTCAAATAAATGCTGTTCTTTTGAACTTTCTATTTGTCAAAGAACCTAAAAAAATGTATCACAGCTTCTATAAAAATATTAAGCAAAAATATTAATGTTTTCAACATTGATAATAATAAGAAATGTTTCTTGAGCAGCAAATCAGCATACTAGAATGATTTCTGAAGGATCATGTGACACTGAAGACTGGAGTAATGATGCTGAAAATTCAGCTTTGATCACAGGAATAAATGATGTATTAAAATAGAAAAAGTTAAAAATAAAATAAAAAATATATTACGGTTTTTATTGCATTTTTGATCAAATAAACGCAGCCTTCTTGAGCAGAAAAGACAAAAAATCTTACAAACCCCAAAATTTTGAATGGTAGCATGTATGATTTTCATCTTCATATGCAATTATATTTTATGACAACATAAATTGCTCTTATGCTTGTTTTGAAGTATAAATAAGCATTTACATTTAGTTTAAGATATTCATGCAGATGGTTAAAAAGCACTTGCTTTGTTATTTAAATGCAGAATATTTAGTCTTACTAAAGCTCTCCCAAACTCACCATGGTGAATCTCAAAATCATGAATTCCAACTCCTTTAAAAACAGCCACACAGGCCTTCTGTATATATAGAGAAGCACACAGCTCTGAATCTGCGACACAGTCCACCTTCCCCACCTGTGCAAACAAATAAACGCAATTAATCTAACACAACAGCACCATATACCAGACGTTCTATGACCCGCGTACTGTGTAAAACAATATTATAAAAGCAAAAGTCCTGTTGTTTTACTTGCTCTCATGTTGGCCTCAAAAAATAGGCAAAAGCACCATAAAAGTACTGTAAAGCAGTCCAACGTTCCAAACGTTGTCTGAAGCCATACGAAAACGTAGAGCTTCAAAACACGTAGAATTTCATAAGTCATATGAACTACTTATAATAATATAGTAATCTAATCTAATATAATATAATCAAGAACCTGTATGTGAGAGTCCTTCAGAAGAGCTTTGAGTTTTTTATATTCATGCGATGCCAAATCATTATGTCCAAAGGAGAAACTGATGAGCCATCGGTGATGAGCCAATTTATGCTGAAATGACAAAGTCAGAAAAAACATGCATCATTAAAAAAAAGAAGAATGTCTTTAATGACATTTTATACCACGTAATCATATTTCATCCAGCATGTCAGTTACTGTGTAAACAGTGGTACTGCAGGAAGTGCTGGGTGCGGTACAGAACAAGGGCAAACATATGATGCTCATGTCTTACCTCAAAGCTGCTCTTTGTAAGAATCTCCAGGTCAGGCAGATGCTGCAACACTTGTGCATATATTTCTTTAGTTTCCAAACTCTGGATAAACTGCAGGGTTGATAAAATCAAAGTGAAAACCAGCCCATGAGATTGGCACAATTAAAAGAATAGCTCACCCAAAAAAATGTATTTGCTGGGAATATACCCACCCTGAGGATGGGTTTGTTTCTTCATCGGAACAAATATGGAGAAAAGTAGCATTATATCACTTGCTCATCAATGGAATATATATATATATATATATATATATAAAATTCATATTTATATATGATTTATATTATATATAAAACCAAATATATATTACATATATTTCTTAAATATATACATGTATGTGTGTACATTTAAATATAATATAAATATACACAGTACACACACATATATTATGTAAACACAAACTTTTATTTTGGATGTGATTAATCGTGAATAATTAATTTGACAGCACTACTATAAATGTTACAGAAGAATTTTAAATGTTATCGTTACACCAAACGACACAAAATGAAAAAGTAGACACAGACAAGTATTTCCCTTAATAAATACACCAATTTTCATTAGAAATTATATTATCATAACTATTTGAGTGAAAAGTTGGACTGAAACATTAGTATTAATTTCTTATTTAGTACAGCTACCTTTTGCTTTAATGACAGCATGAACTCCGAAAAATATTTTTATTTCTAGATTTAAAGAAAATAAAATGTAAATGGTCATGCCAAAATTAAATACCTTGCCATAGTTCTGTCACTTTGCTCTTCACAAACTGCATTGCAAACGTGGTGAGGCTTGATTTTGTTCTGTCGCCATAGTATTTCTCTGGCTTCTGTTGGCACGATTACATTTATATTTTAGGATGACTACAGACATTACACATACATTATGTATTATATGCTGATGAAAGCAGAATGCTCTCACCATTCCCGCTCTGAACACATAGAGGCTGGGGTAGCTGTTGATGCCTTTACTACGGCACAACATGCCATTATCACCGCAGTTCACAGCACCGATCCGAATCACACCGTCCATTTCCTTAGCAAACTCCCGCCACTGTGGGGTGCATCACACGTCAGTCATATAACTAACCTACAGTAACTTTAACAATCCTAGCATGTGTGAAGAGGAAGTGACTAAGAGAAGGAGAAAACAGAGTTACGCACCGTGGGGGCAAGATCGTGGCAGTGCGAGCAGCGTGGGAAATAGAAATTCACAAACCAGACCTCGCCAGAATTTCCAGCTGCATCTGTGGAAAAAGACAAAACTGGTGTCACAACACTCCACCACTGGAAAAAACAGGTTAGGCCTCTATTTGAATACTACAAGATCAGCTAAAAAGAGGTGATTGGTGGGTTTAAAGAAACCTGACTTGATATTTTCAGGTCTTATTTCACACCAAATGTAAAAAAACGAAAGAAATAAAATTTTTATACATTTTTCTGCAATATTTCTTAGAAATATTAAGCACATTTTCCCCTCCAATTCTCATAAAGTAACAAAAAATAATATATATATATATATATGTATATATGCATGTATTTATGTGTAAATAAATATATATATATATGAACTATTACAAAATTATTTGTATTATTATTAGAATTATTACAGAAATGTTTACTGTTTAAAAGAACTATTACTTTATCAAATTTAGGGGAAAATGTGCAAAAAAAATCACAACACAAAAAAATGCAAAATATAAGTTTATGCAAAGTATAACATATTTGTCTTTTGATTGTGGGGTATGATATGACCTGAACATGTTTTTACACAAGGCAGAGCGACTTTCTCAGGCCATCTCTGATAAAATGAGCACCACTCTAATCATTTGTTTTTCAATAATTATCATTATTCTTATATTCATTATTTCAATTCTCATTATGATTATCACTGTAATAGCACATACTACAATATATATATATATATATATATATATATATATATATATATATATATAATATAAAGAGAGCCACAAATATGTGTAGTTTTGGCAGCTCAACAATTATGTGGACTTTTAACAACTTAAACTATATTTACTTGTAAACGTATTTTATATATACACAATACACGTGCTTGGTTCTCATATATACAAATATATAAAACACAGATTACAAATATAATATCTTATTCGCAAGTTGCCCTGATATCTGAAAAGTTGTAGTAGTTGTGTGTAATGAGATCAGCTCGGGTTAGTTGTGCAAAACTGCAAACTAGTACGAGACTCGTCGGTTTTAATAATACATATATATGAACGATTACAAAATTATTTGTATTATTATTAGAATTATTACAGAAATGTTTACGGTTTAAAAGAACTATTACTTTATCAAATTTAGGGGAAAATGTGCAAAAAATCACAACGCAAAACAAAACAAAAAAATTACTTTATGCAAAATATGAGTTTATGCAAAGTATAACATATTTGTCTTTTGATTTTGGGGTATAATATGACCTGAACATATTTTTGTGAGATTCAATCCAGCATTCAAAATGCTTTTTCTGTTTGTCTAGAAATCCAAAATAAGTGCATAATCTGGGTGATTTAAGATCATGGCTTACCAAAGTCCCCTCTGTCTAGTGTAGTAATTTCTGCATCCTCGTCATAAATTCCTGAAAAACACCGTTGCATGGTTTTTCTCCAGTATAAAGACAAGTACCACACATCTTCCTATTTATTTAGTGTTGTATTGTCACATTGTTATATAATATCTACACAGAACATAACAGAGAATTGAATTACCAAAATCATATCTGTAATAGTTCCAGCTTTCATATCTTCCTCCTTGCTGTTCATCTTGCAGGCCCTTCTCTCCATACTTATCATATTTCTTCCTCAAGTCCTCGTCCTTCAACACCTCGTAGGCCCGATTGATCTTCAAGAACTTCTCGTGGGCCGTTGCATCATTCTAAAAAGACAATGGAAGCGTTCTCAGAGAGTCACAAATGAAGGAAGACACATACGTCTGGCTGCTATGCCATAATGAAGCTACTCACAGGGTTTTTATCTGGATGCATTGTGAGAGCAAGCTTTTTGAAAGCCTGCCGAATCTCACGAGTGCTGGCTTCTCTTGAAATGCCTAGCAGGTTGTAGTAATCTTCATCAGAGGAAACGGTTACGAAAAGCCATACCGCGATGAAAGCAAACAGAAACGACTTCCTAGAGGGTCTCTGGTGATTCTGGAACATCTCCATTGATGAAGGCTGTTGTTGGTGCAGATCTTCAGGGTTTCAAGGTTGGAAAACTGCTTGCAGGAGTGTGATGATCATCCTCAATGAAGACACCTTGTAAGTGATGACAAGAGAGTGAAAAAGAAAGGGAAGAGATCTCAACTCCGGTGCTATTGGAAATTAACACGTAGGTGTTTACACAGGGCGGAGCGACTTCTCTGATAAAATGAGCACCACTCTAATAATTTGTTTTTCAATAATTATCATTATTCTTATATTCATTATTTCAATTCTCATTATGATTATCACTGTAATAGCACATACTATTTTATATATATATATATATATATATATATATATATATATATATATAGTATAAAGAGAGCACAACAAACATATACACTTTTAACAACATAGAGGGGAGTCTCA